ACGTCAAATGCCAGAGTCAAATTCGTGTACCTCCAGTGGATCAGCATAGTTTGCTCTGGAAATGATATACACGAACAAAGCCTCAGAAACGTATAAAAGGCTCACAGAGAGGTTCAGAGACCCTCCATCATCAAAAACCACCAAATACTCGATCGACCTCTCGCAGCTTCTTTCGAACTCTGTTCTCTTCAACCTCACAATAAATCCAAGAAATGACGAAGGATGGAAAACACTCCGCTGCCCATAAAGGCGACCATCACGCCACTGCCCACAAAGGCAAAGGTCACGGCGATGGGCACAAAAAACATCATCATAAACACCACGGCCATGGTAATCATACCACGGTGAACGTCTCAGTGAACACCGTGGGCGAGGGGGGTGAGGTAGACGAGGAGCAGGGTGTAAAGGGAGAGGATGAGTAGGAACCGGCTCGGTGATTAGATTCAAATCAATTCCGAGTGTGAGGTACGAAGGACTTGAGGACTTGGTCTAGTCGAGTTTTTCTTCCTTTGTGATCCACTTCGAATGCTCCTTTCCCTATCATCATCTCCCCCTTCGCCTTTTTCATCGGCTAGTGCTCTTGTCCTCCTCTTACACATCTCGATATTTTTCTAGATATGCGCCGTGTATGCATTCCAATTGTCTCCTTTTTCTCGCCGCTTCCGTTCATCAAATACGCATCTTTATTAATTTTTATAGCCTGTATTTTACCTATCATGTTCCGATCCAAGCCGTCAGTGAATATCAATCACCACTGGTTAGCCCTTGTTTCGGTCTATACATCGATCGACTCGATTGAAACTTGAAAACAGGAAACGGGAAAAAATTGGCGGACTACACTCACCATAGCTCAGGTAGGTAGCCCTTGGATTAACTACCTCGTCAGCTCGTAAAGGCCGTGGTAGTGATAGGCCATAGAATCAGCTAACCCAAACTCCTTATTGTACCCGTACCTTTATTACGCGCCGTAGAGAAAAACATGCCTTTGAAACCGCATTTCACATACTCACAGCTTGAAGCAAAGGACTCCATCTCAAGTTCATAGCAGCTCTTTGTTCTGTCCGACTCCTAATCCCAGAACGTGTTCATATATCGATCTTCTCTCTTGATTGGATGATACATATATCTAACCAAAAAAAGAATTATATCTAGAAGGCTGAGTTTCCGACTTCGAGCAGCCACTTCAATCCCTCATGAAAGTCTTCTCTAAATTTCGCAGCTTGTTTGATATTAAAGAAAGGCGTATCAAATCCATGTGGTACGCCCGGGTACCTGTTGAAGGGAAAGTCAAAGGAGGGAAATCAACAAAAAAAACAACGTCGTGAATGACTTACACCTCAAGCTTGGTAGGCACACCCGCCTCCTTCAACAACTTTTCATACAATAACCCTTCATCGCGCAACGGATCCATCCCGCAAATCTGTAAAACCGCAGGTGGCAACCCTTTATGAGAAGGTAAGAGTACAGGAGAGATTCTAGGATCGTCCGGGATCGGGTTGTAATATTCTAGGAAAAATGAATGGGTCATTTCTCACATACATGCAGGGAAAACACGAAAAAAATATCCGCAAACATACCCGTGAACTTGTCAATGCGTTCTCTATTCAAAAGCGGCGAATCCTTGTTCTGTTCAAACGACAGCAAGGACGATTTGTACCTGACGACCAATTGCACTCGTTAAAATCGAACACAAGAAAAAAAGAGGAAAAAAACAACTTTTCCGGGACACCATTATGGTGTAAAAGCACCGGTACTTGCATGAGCTGTCCAGTCAACGGCGTATCTTTAAAAAACGGATCATCCCTTGCGACCCATGATAGTACTGCAGCCAAATTGCCGCCTGCAGATAGACCTCCGACAATGAAACCCTTCTTTAACGAAGCAGAGAAGAGGTCGGGGTGAGAAGCAACCTTACGATGTAACATTCTGATTTAGTTGTTTAAACTGGGAAAAAGACTGCAATGTTACATATTTCAAGGTGGCAGTCGCATCGTCAACTGCAGTAGGGAATTTGTGTTCTGGTGCCAAACTAAGTTCAAGAATCAGTCAAGAATCAGTCGTGGGGTTTTGTAGAATGGCACGTACCGGTACTCACAGTTGACTACTGAAAGCCGTAGTTTAACGCTAGCAATCCTGCACTTGTAGTCGTCCATGCGAAGGTCTCCTAGAACAAAGCCTGAAACGAGAATCATTAGCCACAAATGAAAAAGCACCAGAACTCACCTCCACCATGAAGCCAGAACAACAACGGGAAAGTGCCATCTTCGCCATCGCGTGGAACAGGTACCACAGACCTCGCGCGCACACTGATCCCTCCACCAATGTTGATTTCATGATCCTTAACGGTGTAATCAGAACCTATGTAGGGTGGAGTAGGTCGGCGGAACGTTCAGCAAAAGAGACAACATACTCTCGGGAAGTAACCCCTCATACTTCTTCTCAATTCCAGCAACGAAAAGTTGCCGAATTTCAGGAAGCTTACTCTCCTCGATCTGGGTCTTTGGAAGAGATCCAATAAGATCCGCAACCTCCTGGTCGATCTCCGAGAGATACGAGTATTCGGCCATAAAATAGGTATCTGTAGTCAAAGCCCGTAATGAGTGTCAAGTGGGCGCGCCCGAGCTGGGAGACAAATAAAAAGAAAGAACCCACGCGGTTCACCCTCTTATAAAGAGAAATTACTTGAATACAACAGACTCAACATTATGATTGACATCTGCTGATGACCGTCTCGATCTGATGAGCTGATGTGATTTTTTATTCAATGGAGGAACCGCTTGTCATTCGACGAAGGTGTTAGTGGGTATATCGGGTGCCAGCCACGCAGGCGCATGGAAACCTGAGGGTGAACAAATCTGATAAACCGTGACGTTGAAAGGCCGTGGGTCGGTTTGTGCTGAAGTAGTCTCGAAACTGAGGATCACAGGTGCCGAGGTTGGTGATGTGTTTGATAGAGTATGTTTCCGTTGACACCACGGCGCACATTTAAAAACGTCGACAATCGGAGTCGAGGTGGCAAACCAAGCCCCACCCGGGCCATTGGCATCATCGTCGTAAGCCATATTCCCTTGGTCAATACGGCTTGTCACGGGCAGTAGAAGCTCCAAAACCCTGAAATTCAAAAAAAACAACATCATTAGAGCGTTAGCGTTCAACGCTACCGTCGCAGTCCGGATCACCAGATCGTAGCACATAGGTCCCCCAAGGCCAAGGTCTCGGGCCTAGGAACATATCCAAGACCCAGAAACATATGGATATTCTCCCCAGTACAAACTTGAATCGTTCGTGCTTGTGTCTTTTCACAGAGATTGGAAGTAGACGTAGTGACTTGGACCAGTTAGAAATGCGTTTCGTAAACGAATCTCCACTACGAAGCCGATCAACGGACTTCCAGGTTGAACGAAAAGATGAACACCTGAGGTCAAGGTTATAACACGCAATGTACACCGTGACGACAACTCAAGTAGCATTTTGCGAAAAACGCCGAAATCAAGCCCTCCCCCACTCCTTGTCATGTGCTGCAGAGGTAGTAGACTGGGAGTTATTCAAAGGGACGTATTGCATGGCTGAGGGAAAGAGGGTGGGTTGGACGATGGCAATTGAGTGGAGGTCGTGGGCCAGAAACGACGCGTCATAATCACTCTATGGGATCATCGTAGAGGACGCGATGATCCCAATCACCTTCTCCACCGATACATCCTCTCAACCATCGCTCCCAGGTCCACTGGCACGTATATCTGACTCTGAAGTTGTCCTAATCGAATTTCAGGGCGAAATACATGTCGATGAAGATGGAGAAGGAAAAGATGGTCAACTAGTTGGAACACTTTCTATCGATGAATCATTGGTTAGTCCGCTTTTCTTCTTCTTCATCAATACTAACAATCGGATAGACTCGTCCAACCCTTCGAATAGGCCATCACCGACTAGAGGGAAAACTGGTCAATTTACCTAAACCACTTGCTGTACTACAAAAATATGTATCCCGACCCCAACGAATTTCCTCGGTCCAAGACCAGACGAACATAGATCAAGAGTACATCCCCGATGCTCTGCCATCTCAATCAGCTACGGAATGGCACGGTATAGCAATCATCAAACGTAAAATCGTTTTCTCAAAGAGACCTATGCCAATCGTTGGGAGTGGAAAGATGGCCTAGACGTTACTTAGAAGTGTGACAGGTCTGCAAACTTTCTACTCCCGATCTTTCCAACTCGTACTTACGCGTCCTTAGACATCATTGAACCATCCACCATTCCTAACGATCACCTATGCCCAACACCCAACCTTCGACTCGAGACACCACCCACCATGATACACACAAACCATGCTGTTTTTCAAGATACTTGTAGCAGAACGTGCCAAAATTTTTCAAGCTACTTAGGCTCCCAATCGATGCCGTGTCATGACGACGTCGTCGTCCCACAGCTGCGGCTACGATACCGACACCAGCGGCGGGAAGATGAGACGTTAAAAAGGGACGGGGGAGGAGCGACACGACGCATCCTGAGATGCTAATGAGTTCTGAGGCCTGAGGGTCGAAAGAGGTCGGAAAAGGGGGACTGGTGAATTACTTCGTACTTACGGCAGTATCGAAGTATATGGATTGCCTATACAAATGCGACGTATCAACAGCAGAATGTACACGGCGGAGGATCATAAATGCACGAGGATCAACCGGGACCGAGTGGAACTCGCGTAACGGAGTCAGTCGCATCTTGGCGGTGACAGTGTGAAAGGTGAAATGAGACGGGACGATACGAAGGGTAAGTAGTTCTGAAGGGGACCCGTGCAACGAGCTCCAAGCGGGGACGGGAAAAGGTTTCGAAAGAAAAAAAACGGGTTTCCTCCACCTCAAGCTCATATCCAACACTTCTTGAGCTCGAGTAATGCCATTGACATCTGTGATGATGAAGGTTTCACTTACTGTTAAAGAACCGAATCTCGACGGCGTACATGATTTTAAAAACCAAAAATAAAATGATCCACTCATCAGAAGTGCACTAAGGGGGAATCGAACCCCCGGCGGGTCGAGAAGTACTTCTAAATAATGGCAACGACCCAGGTTACCACTACCCCATTAGTGCAACATGGTTTTGGTGCTCCAAGTATGGTGAATATACTGAATAGTACTCTACCACCCATTGAGACGCTTGGGGTCCGATAAGACGAATACCTAGGTTCTGACTATCCCGATCTTCCATAGGCCTCATTAGACGACTCTTTATCAAACTCAGTGCAACTTGAACTGCTATATACTTTCAATCAAGAAAGCTCATACCATGGTATCGATACGATGTCGACACTCGCAATGACCTCCACCGTGCACTGTGACTTTGACCCGATCTCCGAAGTCTCCCAATGAGGACCCAGTCGATTCATGACTACGACGTCTTCAGCTTGGCAAAAGGTAGAATGCGGTCTGGGGAGTGCAGACATCAACTCGAAAGCTTAAGGATACGCTCAGGCTGTGGAATATTGTCAACATGAGATAAATGATCACGGAGACTCGGAGCCTGATGGACAATGAATAAAGGGGCCTACTATAAGTTCCTGCAATGATAAAGCAGGACATCGAGCATTGCCTACACAAATACGAGCGACTGCCCTGTCGACGGGGTACAGAGGACATGTCGTCAAGATTCGTCTCTAGTGAGACGAGGAACCGACCTTGAATCGATGGCGTGCACACTTATTCCGCTCTGCCAAACAATTTGTCGATATGAAAGGTGAAACTAAAGCGAGAACGAGGATGTCGATGAGATCCATCCATCCATGATGCCGGTCCGCGGTCCGCAGATGATTGCATATTTGATTTGTCACTGGTCAATGCAACAAACAAGATTTGTGGTCCACATCTCGAAAAGTTCATCAACGCCACTGATCATCGGTCAAGTACTTTCTGAGCGAGGGCTTCACAAGACAGAGTCGAGGCGCCTTCCTCGCAGCTTGAGCAAACTCTTCCCTGGTCGAAACTGTTCCTAGAGGCCCGAGATGCCCCAACTGTCGAGTGACGAGCCCGAGAACGCCCTGGCGCAAGGTAGTGATAAGGACTTCAGTGATAGCGACTCACAGCATCATAATCAACGCAGTTTTGATCTCCTGCTAAAAGCCCACCATCGGAGGCATCAGACATCTGCATCGGGAACCACCCCAAATTACACCTATGCTTGCCACAATTCGCAAAACCTTTCTCATCTCCAAACATTATCTGCTACTCATTACTCAGAGAATAACATGAACAGCTTATGATGCGAAAACCGTCAAGTCCAAGCCAGCCCACTTGACAAACCTCCCGCCTCAAAAAGAGACGATCTCGTCGTGATCGAAGCTGCAAGTCCGAGATGCCCAACTGTCGATTAGCGGTACTACTTGAGTGGATAGTGATACATACACAGGCCATCAACGGACTCGGGGGTTTGATTTTTCCTGCAAGGCCACTCTGGGAGTCCACAAACTCTTCGCTTCCGCAAGTCCCCCAAAGTACAAACTTACCACACTAATAACCTATATCCTTTCATCTTCACTCCGAATTCATCTGTTCTGTCTGAAAACACGCCACCTCGCCACTCAATCACAGAAAATCATGACACTTCCCTCCGATACCGGCGGTGTTCACCAAACCCTCCGACTCGGAAACGATAAAACTCCACTGCCAGCTCTAAGAGGAAATTGAAGAAATCAGGAACCAAAGGTACCACATTTACAAACAAATAAATTCATTGTGTTTTGAACCTTCCATTCATATTCATCATTTGAAAAAATCGTATATGTATCCAAGTCGTTACCGCCAAGAAAAGAGGAGAAAAGAGTCCCAAGATAAAAAAAGATAAAAAGACACTAAAACAGGGTATCGTAAGGTACGCGTACGACTCAAGACTTCGATGGAAGAGGGAACTGACAACTGTAGGCGTGTGAGGCGTCGTGGTATATGTGGGCTGTCTAGAGAAACCGGGAAAGGAGGGAAAGTAGTGAACGTCGCCGTTTCTCAAAACGGTAAAAGCGACTCGGCAATAGGGTAAATGTGAAAGGCAATGCAAGATATTTTTGAGTTGTTGACGTGCCGGGTAGCGAGCGTCTATGCAGTGTGTAGGGATAGTAATGGTATATGATGGTTAATGTACAGCCCCTCCAAATTTTCCGGGAAGAAGGGAAGGTGAATGGAAGAAGCTAAATTGGGAATGGGCTGATGCGGCATTGCGCTGCGTAAATGGCGACGGGTCCTTACGCTCACGGACGTGCCAAAGACCATCTCCTCTGTAAAACTCGGGTATTGTGGGGATGAGGATGAGGATGAGCAGATTGAGGTGACGATACGAGCGCCTGTTTTTTGCCGTTGTATGGAGCAAGGGTAGTCGTCGAGATCGAAATTGGGGTTCTTGACGTAGCTGGGGAAGAGGAAAAAGGCGGAAAACCGCCTTGAGGTAAAGTCTGTGCACGGTGTCGGATGATGGGACTATTTCGTAGATGGCAGATCAGCATCGACTGAAGATAGCAAAAAAAAGAAGAGATACTGACGTTCCCGCCCTAATCAATTCCATAAGCTTTGAATGCTTGACAGCAGTGTTCATAAACAGTCCGGTCGGAATGATTCCTTGTCCCAAAGTAATCCGTCGTAACGAGGGGTTCCCAGAAACGACCAACAAAACGTCACTCCAAACACTCGGCAGAAGCGTAATGAACGTGTGTAAATTAGGCAGAGACGCTAGTGCATTGGCTAGATGGGTAATGGGTGATGTTGGGTCGGGCATTGGATCAGAGAGCTTAAAGCCGACATTAACCGTACTGAGGGTCGAAGGTAACTGTTCCGCTAGGCGATGGATGAAACGCCTGATGTTGTCAGAGCTAAGGTAGGCTGTCGTGGGTGATTTTCTGATGGTGAGTTCCGTCAACTGGGGAGGGAGATGGATGTCGACGTCTTCATCAAGGATTTCGATGTCTAGAGATTGCAGTGTGGGCATGAGCAGCTTTGGGGTGTATGCGTCGGCTGTTACAACGAGACTTTTGACGAGATGACAGTGAGGGGACTGTAGAAAGAGTATAGACTGATGTTTAGTAGTGAGAACGACGTGGTGGTACACATGAGGAAGAGCGATTCTGTGAAATTGAGAACAGGTTGTGAGTAGATTTGGATGAGAAGTGAACTGAAAAATTCTGTCTGTGAGTTCTTCTGGTAGACAGGGAAGGGACATTTTGTTTTCGAGTGGGCGGTGAGGTCAACGACCTGAGCCCTATTTAAACCTTCATAGAACCAAATTAGGATCACTTTTAGACATACCGTCCCAGACTAACGGACAAAACTTTCCCACGATATGTCTCCCTCAGCCTTTCTCCTCGTCTTTAGCGATCCTGGTACAAAGGTTACGTTGGATGAATTCCATGATTGGTACAACACCGAGCATATTCCTCTTCGCCTAAATCACCTTCCAGAATTTCTCTCAGGTGCACGCTACCAATCTACCTCCGATAATACCTGGGTCTCCGTATACGAAGTGTCACATCCCGAGCTCTTCAGTCAACCCTCTTACACAACCCTCAGAGAGAATCGCAGCCCACGAGAGGCAAATTTAGTCAATCGTCTTGCTCTGCTAGACAGGAGATGCTATCATATCATCAATGTCATTCAGGATTCTGACAAGGCTCCGTGTGGTTTCCAACTAGGTGAAAAGACCACGAAAGCCATCGTAACCTACGGATCTACCACCGATAAACCACTTGGAATACCTACATCCCTTAGAACACACGTCTTGAAATTGTTCGATTATGGTACCCTTAAAGACGGTGCCTCCGTTCCAACCGATCATCCCGAGTATCATGTCGTTCATGGTCAGTAATCATTGTCATCACGTTTCCGTTAGCTCACATCTCTTGATTAACCCGCAGAATTTTCCAACGATGCTGATGCAGCCAATGCAGCATCTATCATCAACGGCCCGCACTTTACGGAAGTTCACGCTTGGAAGTTGTACAGAGCTTATCCCTGTCTCGCACAGGGCAATTTACAATAGGTCCCTTGCTACCCCATACCCTTCTCCCTCTCCAGATTCTTTCCATTTTCATTCCACACATTTTGTGTTCAGGCACGTTCCTACTCAAAACCTACGTTTTCTTCTTGCCCCGCTGTAACCCTTAAAATCCTTCAACATTCCTCTTCGTCGATGCGTGTTTATATCTTGCAGATGAGAATAAATCGGGAGAATTAACCAATCATTTCATTCGAATTTTGACCTTCTCTCGGCTCGGGTTTGCGCTATAGCCTATGTAGAGTCTAGATGGTCCCCGCTGGATATATGCCGTGGCTTTCGATTACATGATATCCGATGAAACGCTACAGCGACATGTGATCCTCGTCAGTGAGCCGTTCCTTTCTTTGAAATGCTCTCATCTGCTAGTGTACGCACCCGGACCGGGATTGCAGTTAGATTTTGCGCCGCTCATTGATACTCGGAGACTCGTCCGTTTATGATCGTAAGGTGAGGCTGAGTGAGGTCGAATTGTGGCAAGGCCACCCAAGATTCGGACGGTCCGCGATTTCACGAGCTACCTGAGGGTTATTGATGCAGCTGCTCATGGTCATACCCTGATACTAAATTCTATTACTCGACTTGTCGTCTGAACTCACCTCGCTCACCCCTGCCACGGAGGAACAAGTGCGGCGGCGCTGACTCGACGGTTGTCCGAAACCAAGTTGCAACTGCGACTGCGAGTTGTCTCGGTATGCTGACGTCCTCAAATCTCGACATTTCACCGCCGATCACCACCACTATTCAATACATATACAGCGCATCAATCCATCATTTTGTTTTTTTTTTACGAGTTTCAGGTTTCCGTCGTCAAGGACGTCGCTGGGACTCGGGACAGTTGCACTACCAAGTGGTATTACAATACAGTACTACAACCCTTCTATTACAGCAAGTGTTGTTCAACATTCAAACCGCAACCCGCGTGTGCGTATTATTGTTACACTTCCGGCATGAAAGGCGGTGGTTTGCTCAGCTTCTAATAGGGATTGCACTGATTGCGAGATTGTTGTGATGCTAATCGCGAATCTGACTCTGCAGGCCCTCGAGTCCGTTTACAGCAAGTC